AAAAAGCAGGGAGGCTACTTTGAGGACTAAGGTGCACTTGACCTACACTATGGTTTTTTCAGTCATCTTACATGCATGTGAGCATTCTACACTAAAAAGAGAGACCAAAGGATTGGTGCAGCTGAATTACAGTGCTGGTGAAGAATACTGAAAGGACCATAGACTGTCAAAAGAAAAAACAACTGTCTTGGAATATGCACAGCCGGAATGCTTCTGAGAGGTAAGGATGGCAAGACTTTGTCTTATGCACTTTGGACATGTTATTGGGAGAGATCAATCCCTGAGTCAGGACACCATGCTTGGTAAATCAGAGGGACAGCTAAAAAGAGAAAGACCCTGGACAAGATGGATCGGCACAGTGGCTGCAACAATGGGCTGAAACAAAAGAACAACAGAAACAATCACTGTGAGGATGGCACAAGGCCAGATGGTGTTTCATTCTGTTGTACGAAGGAAGGTTGCTACGAGCCAGCACCAATGTGATGGCACCTAACAACAGCAGCAGAAAGTAAGTTCCCTGGAAATAAGGTTGCCAAATAAAATAGAACATGTCAGTTATATTTGAATTTCACATTTGGTATGTGGAATAGACTTGTATTAAAGCAAAAAAAGAAAGAAAAAAAGAAAAGAGCCAGGAGAACTGCTTCCAAAAACCGTAGTCACTGACACCCTGTGGGGCACCGTCCTGCTCTCCCGCCCGCCCGGAGGGGAGCTGCCGCACAGCCACTGGTTTGGTTTGGGTTTTGAATGATGACGGACAACTTACTGTGTCATCCGGTACTTTTCAGACATCATCTCATTTAATTCGAACAACTGCCGTATGAAATGAAGGCCACGGTCTATGAAATGAAGGCCACGGTTCTCTCGTTTTACAAACGAGGAAACCGAAGCACACAGGGTTGCGCGATTGTCCAACACCGCATAGTTAGCAGTGGGCTGAGGCGCAAAGATGACCAGTCTGACTGAAGAGCCCATCGTTTCAATTACTGTTTCTTTTTGGTTCACGAGGACCCGGGTGATGAGCGTGGGTTTCAATCCAGGTTTCGTTGGATTCCAAATACCTCTGGCAGTCTATTTAACAGCGCTGCCCCCCAATTCCTAGGATAGTGTTTTAATAATGATGACCACCAAGAATAACTCAGTTCTTTCAAGAGTAAAAGGTTTTGTGTTTTCCTGCTAGCTTCAAGCCTATTTAAGCCAGCATCACATCTATCCGGCTATGATATACTCAATAAAGAAAATGTAGCCTAAGGCAGCCTTCCTACTCAGTTCTGAAAATATCAGAGGCAAAGACTTATTTCTAGGAGGGAAGACAGCATACTAAATCCTTAGGCTGTGAATACTTTAACACCAATGAGTGGATTAGATCTTTTCCCACATTATGCTTAGCTGAGAATGATTTGGGAGGAAAAAGAAAGGCAAGCCAGTTTATGAGAAAGGAATTCTGGGTTAGAATACTGTTCCTGGCATGGGAGAAGCATTGAGTGTTTGAGAGCACATGATTACATATGTTAGTGTGAGGGCTGATGTTTAAAAAGTAGGAGACCAGACCTCAACGACACTTGACAATTTTATCCAGAACCAAACCTTATTTTAATTAAAAGCACTCCCAAAGGAGTAACTGCCAAAAGTCAGTAAAACAACAAACAAACAAAATCCACTGTGGAAATTACTTGATTCCACTCATTACCAATATTCTAAGCTAAGAATATTTGGGGATATATTTTTAAAAGGAATTTAGCATCCTAAAGTTTATATTAAACAATTCACATTGTAACTAAGACTACCATTCACAGGCATAATCCAGCCTTCTACAAAGTGATGCTCAAAGGCTCCTGAAAGCAAATGTTCCATGCTTCATCAGCATTATCCTCTCTTCCTTCCCACATCACAGCAGCAAGTACACATGGGTAGCTCTTGCTGTACTCTAAGTGCTTGATAGCCATTAACTCATTTATTCCTCACAACTGCCTGAGAAGGAAGATAGAAGCTATTATCTACTTTGTTTTATTGGTGAGGAAACTAAAACACACAGAGATTAAGTATCTTATCCACGGTGACCCAGCTAGTAAACGAAGGAGCTAGATTTTTACCCAGGCAATTTGATTATTCTTAACCATGACCTGAGGCGCCCTGGTGGCATAGTTATGTATTGGGCTACAATCCACAAGGTTTGAAGTTCAAAACTACCAGTTGCTCTGAGGGAGAAAGGCAGGCTTTCTACTCCCATAAAGAGTTACAGTCTGGGAAACTCACGGGGGCAGTTCTACCCTCACCTATAGGGTCCCTAAGAGTTACCATCAACTTGATGGCAGCGGATGTGAGGTTTTGGGAGTGGATCACAGTGGCTTCTAGGCAAAAGGGTTTCCCCAAAGGGGAAACTGAATTGAGCATATGGTGTTTTACCTTCCTGTTTTGCAGAAACATTTCCTGGATGAAAGCCAGGGACCAAGTGAACACAGCTTTGCTTTGAATTTTTTTCGTCATTTAGTCTACCTACTTGTGAAGTAGAATGGTTTTAAGCCAAAAATAAGATACAAAAGAGTTTACTGACTGTGGTACCTATCAATATTAATTTATATGGCAAAAGGAACTTTGCAGTGTGATTAATTGGACTTTGGGGGGGCAGGGGAGGAGTTGTCCTAAGTTATGGGGAGGTGTCTGCTGCTTTAGTGACAGGGCTCCTAATGAGAAAAGCAGGAGATCAGAAGGACAGAAGGTGATGTGCGAGATGTGAAGATGCTAGGCTGAAGGCTTTTACAAGGGTCACAGGCCGAGGAATGCAAGGAATGCAGCCAAGGGTCTTTAGGAAAGTGCAGCCCGCCAAAACTTAGTTTGGACCTAGTGAACCCCATTTTACACTTCTGATGTCTGCTACGAATAATATGATATTAGTTACAATATAACAATAAGACAATATGTCTGTGTGATGTTAAACCACACATTCTGTGGCCATTTGTTGGGGTAACATTCGGATGCCAATTCACTGCCCTAACATCTCATGGCTGATTTGCTGTCCCAGTGATCCATTAGCCTTAGTCATCAATGGTACACCAAGGACTAATCAAAATGCTCCGCGTTACAAAAAATAAAATAAAAATCTGAAGATACAACCCTTCCCTCAAGGGCTCATAGTCTGGCAGCCTTCATCTCCCTCCTGCAAACCCATTTACCACAGCTGGTTTTTCCTAACACGGGATTCAGCCAATTTGGTGGAAAAGAAGGGTTCTGCATACCTGGTCATGAATGAGCCCATGATAGAGGATGTTCTGCATGTCCCTGCAGAGCCGCTCCAGGCCACCATACTTGGACCAGACGTTGGGGCTGTTGGTTGACACCAACCCTTCAACAGTGGTCTTCAAATTACCCAGCAGCTGCCAGTGTTCTCTCCTGCAAGGGCATCAATGACACCAACAGTCGATTAGTCAGCTTTTTCTGGTAGCTGAGGCC